TTGCTGGGACCCATTTTTCAGGGACACACATGCCAGGAATCACCAAGCAGAGCCTGAGGAGAGCCAGCATCACCCCCTGCGCTCAGCCAGCAGCATTAGCTGAGCTCTGCTCATTCCCACTCTTGAATATTCATTGTGCCCAAATGCAATATATCCTGAATATTAAACAAGAGCTACTCAGGGCAGGAATATCAATCCCTAGGCAGAGCTGCTGGTTGTTTGGGGAACGGAGGGCTGCCAGCTGTGGGGAGAGAGACAGCATTGCTGCTCCTCCACCTGCCAGGGAGGTGGTGCAGGGGAGGAGGGCTGGCAGCCTTGCAGCAGCCACCCTGCATGCAGCCCAGGAGATGCAGGGGCACACAGCCCCCTCCACCTGCCCTGCAGTCCAGTGCTGCTCCTGGGACAGCACTGCTGCCCAGCCTTCAGGCAGGGCTACAAGAGCAGCTCTCCAACTGCTGGCTATGCATTTTTTAAAGCAAAAAATAGATTTTGCTTCCTCCAAAGGGTGGTACCTTCCAATGTAAGCAGCTCAAGACCCCTTGTCTCATCCCACTGAGCTCTGCCCAGCACAGACAGCCTTCAGGCAGGGCTGGTCACTGAGGTGGCTGAAGTGCCAGGAGCAGAAAGAGGGGAAAAAACCCAAATAAAATAGAAAATGCAGCAGCTGTGAGCTGTCCAGAAATGCAGCCAGTGGATGGGAAGGATGGAGACTCACACCTCCACAGCCCCTCTGTGCAAGAGGGTTGCCTGAAAGGGAGCCCCTTCTCAACACCTCAGGAGGGAGAAGCAGACAGGCAACCACACCCCGCTGCAGAAACACAGGACTTTGATCAAAGAAAGTGACACCTGTTATTTAAAAAGAACCTCATCTGCAAACCATCCTTCTGCCTCCAGAGAGGCACGACTCCAGTTCTGGGCTGCCATCTTCCATGATACAAAGGCTAGAGATGAATCCTCCAGCCTCATCCCAAACATAGGATCACCAAGGGATTTTCACACTGTTTTATGCTTTCATTTTCCAGCTCAAGCTGCTCTTGAGATAGCAACGTTGAAATCATCTTGGATGTGAATGTAGATTTGGAAAAAGTGAGAGATTAATCGAATCAAAGCAGTTTGCAGCTCTGCTATCTCAATATCCATAATAGCTTAGTTATTAATAAGATAAAAAAGAAAACCCTCCCTAAAAAGATTTCTGGGAAGCAAAGCAAATGATCAAAGATCCCAGCTCTCAGCGCTGGTTCCTGGCCCCTGTGACCTCCAGTCAGTATTTAAGCAGGGATGAGGATGATCTTCTGGGGGTTCAGTGTCAGCTGAGCACTTGCTGCTCTGCCCCTGAGGGCAACCATGGGGATGAGAACCCTGTGGTGGGGACCCTGGTGTGTGGTTTCCCTGCTCAGAGAGGTCACTAGATAACAAACTAGCTCTGAGGTAACACTAAAAACACCCAGAGCTGTTGAACAGCTCATGGCTGAGCTGGGGGGCCCAAAGCCCCCTTGCCCACACAGCCAAGGCTGTGGCACCTGAGGGGACACGTGTCCCTTCCTCAGGTCCCCACAGCAGTGGGGGGCTCCAGCCTCCACCACCACCGACCTGGAGTGAGCCTTGGCTGGGGCTGCATCCCCTTGTCTCCCCTTCTGGAAATAAAGCAGCCAAAGCATCCCTAGTTCAGGGCTCGGAGGCCAACAGCTCCGACACCACCAGAGCCCTGTTCCTGTGGGGAACTGCCCCCATCTGTTCTGTGGGAGTCTCAGCAGTCACAACTGCAGCCCTTGTCCTCAGCTGACTCTTCTTGGTGTGAAGAAACAGAGATATACACACCAAAATTCCTCTGAGCCCCATGGTAGTGCAGTAAATTATAAATCAAGCAGCAATCTGTGACTCACCCTGCACTAGTGGGAACACACTCGCAGCTCCCAGGTGAGCAAGTCCCACGGGGAGGCGTGATGGAGGATTTTCCTCAATTTTCTACCCTACCACTCTCCTAAAAGCCTTGGAATCACTACCAGCTCTCTGCACCATTTGTCAGCGCAGGGAGGCTTTGTTAACCCTGGTCTCACTCCCACAGCCCCACGGGAGGCAGTGCTGCTCTGACAGGTAACAGAGGATGGGTTTTCCACCTGGCTCATGGCTCTTTCTCCAGCAGAGAGCAGATGTGTTACAAAACACCACACTTCTCTTTCTTTTGCATATTTCCAGCCTGTCAATCTACAGAAGACTCAGCGCCAGCAAAGGAAAAGCCTCCTCGAAGCTGGCCCTTCTCTGGCTCTTTAAAGGGATCAGAGCTCACAGAAAAGCCACTGACAGTGGCCAGAAATTAAGGCAAAATCCTTTCTTCAAATACTCCTTGCACCAGAACTCGTGGACGGAGGAGCCAGCTGGAGCTCTGCACACAGAGCTGCTCTTGCTGTGTCCCCCAGCGTGACCCTGCCCCAGCCCTGGCACCGCAGCGTGGGCAGGACCCGGGCAGGCAGGATGCCAATGACAAATTTCAAGCAATCTGAATTTATAATTGGCTAAGATTTCAGCAGGCAGATAATGCACTGCTGTCCGGGCACTCACTCTATCTAGGTCAGGCCATTTGTTTTGCTCTTAATCCACACACAGTTTTAATTTCATCTTTAATGTCGACTTCCAGCCGGAGCTCAACATCTCGACCCCTCCCACACTCACCGAGAGGGAAAACAAGCACCACCATCCTGCTGGATGCTCCCAGCCATGCTCACACAGCAGGAGCTGCCTGCTGGAATGGGGACTCAGAGAACCATGGAATGGTATCTGCAGCTGATAACCCTTGACATCAACCTTCCCAGGGAAACACTGCATCCATGCCTGGCACCCCAGCTTCACAAAGCTCCTGGACATGACCCAGCACTCCATCCTCTGCCCCATCCTGCCTGGCACCCATGTGGTCCCTGCTCAAATCCAGAAAACTGCTCACACCGGCTGGAATTGTAATTTACAACATAAACAAATGGAGTTGAAGATGCACAAAATAAACCCATCATGTGCATTAAAGGGATTAAAGATGGTTCCTAAAGAATCTGGAGGTGTATAGTACAGTATGGATGGATCATTGCAGAGCATCCACAGGGAAGCCAGGCTGCCGGCACACGCTGGAGACTTTAGATGTAAAACCAGCCTGGAAGAAAGGGGAGCACTGGGAGAAGGTTTCTCATTTACACATACTAGTCCAGTTTCAGGCACTCAGCTCTTCTAAAGAGACAAAAAAAATTCCCCACCAAAGATTTCTGTGGAAAGCACAGCCCTTCTGACAACAGGAAGTTACTCACTTCAAAAATCCAATTTTTCATCAAAAAAATCTAACTTGAAAGGCGTTCCCAGCTCACTCAGGATGCGGGATCAAAGCCAGGGATTAAGTGCATCTGCTCACTGCTGGCTGCCCGAGAGCCTTGCAGAGCTCTGGGAGCAGCCTCTGAGCTCACCAGTGACGTCCTGAGGAGGGGACAGAGGGGCAGAGCCCTGCCATGGGCACGGGACATGGGAGGCAGCAGCTGCTCCACTGGCCACAGATTCCCCGGCAGCAGCATCCTATCAGCACATATTTAAGGATTTTGAGTATTTCAGGTACTTGCAAGGATTTTCATTGCTGCCAAGGAGCACACAGTGGTTGAAGCTTGGACCGAGACCATGTAAGGAGATGGCACAAGATGCCAGAACAAAACTGGCTCTGTTGGTGAAGCCCGGCATCGATCCTGAGCAATCTCTGCAGTGGAGGCAGAGTGTCAGGAAAAGAAACACCCAAAACCACCCCCACCAATGCACAGCCAGAGGCAGGGATGTGCTGGAGGATGAAGCAGAAGAAGGACACACATCGAGGTCCTCTCCAGGTAGCTTGGTCACCTTCACCCCCGCTCCCCCAGCAGCTCCAGCCCTGCAGAGACTGAGGAGCTGGGCAGGATGAATGACACTGGAAAAATGGTTTCAGCAGAGGAAAGCTTCCATCCATGGCCAAAATCAGATTCTTATTTAAAAGGGACAAGAATAGTGTTCTGGCAACCTGCTAGGCTTCCTCAAAAGGATTTGCCTGGCTGGAACAGGCTAGATCAGGGAGGAATATTCCAAGGTTTTAACTTCTCTGCCCAGGCTTTACTGCATGCAAACATACATGGTCACTGCTTTCAAAGGTTTCCAATTTGCTAATTGAGACATTTCCTCATGGAAAAAGAATGTTCTGGACTACAGACAGGGCTGCTGGCGCAGCTCTGCACACCGGGGAAGCTTAGGTGAGGATGATGAGATGGGAGATTGGCAGGAAAAGCAAGCCTCCCCAGGCCTCATTTGGCAGCACTAACCCAAAGCCAAGCCTGGTGGCTGGAATATGAGGAAGAAACACCCAGGACATCCCATCCTATTCCTCATGCCATCTGGGGTCTTTAGTCACAGCAATGGGCACCTCACAGCAAGTTCAGGAGAGTCTGGAGACAGGGAGGTGGGAAACCAGCCCAAGAAACTGGACATCTAGGAAGATTTCTTTCCAGGCACCAGTTTGTTTAAAAACAAAGAGGAAAAAATAATCTGGTCTGTGCAAAAAATCCCCAGGTGTTCTGTGTTTTTGCTGGAGCATTGAAGTATTCCTTCTGCCCTCAAAACACATGAGTAGAGAGAGTGGTTTTGTTCTGAACATGAACAGGTCAAAGATCCCAGAAAAGCGCTTCTGGGGCAGAATGAGCCTGGAACATGAAGGGAGAAAGGCCAGAGGAAGCAGCGGCTGAGAAAGGCATGAGCAGGGTTCTAATGGGAACATGACTGCTGCCACAGTCACGCCTCACCAGCATGACCTCAGACGGGACTTGCAGGTTTTTTTATTTAAAAAAAAAAAAAAAAGGAATGAAAAGTGAATGCATGGGGGGCAGAGGGAGATTTCAAACTTCATAAAGGTCAAACATCATCCACGCAGGTTCACATCACATTCGCCACAACCTCAGCTCCCACATAAAGACTGAGCTTCGGAGCGCTCCGGAGGAATCCCACGTCCTTACCTTCAGCTTCTCGAAGCGATCGCTGAGCGATGCCACTTGGTGGTCCCGGTGGCGGCCCACCAGTTTACATAAGGCACAGATGAGCTGGTCATCGGCGACACAGTACATGTTCACCTTCTCGTTCTCGTGCTCCAGGCACGTCAGTCCGCGGAAGTGCGCGTCGGGCACGGGCTCCACCAGCCGGTGGCTGGTGAAGGGCTTCTTGTTGGGGTGGGTGGCGCGCAGGCAGCGGTCGCAGTAGGACACCTCGCAGGTGATGCAGGTCTTGACGGCGTCGCGGGGCGGATCCTGCTCGCAGAACTGGCAGGCGATCCTCTCGCCGGCCACGGACATGGTAGGGCTGTTGCGGTAGGTCCTCTCGCGGCGGCTCTCGCTGGGGGAGTTGGGGCCGCTCAGCGACGCCTTCTGGAAGCGGTCGATGATGTTCTGCAGGGTCACATTCCTCTTGAGGCCCTCCAGGCCCCGGTGGTTGAGGGAGATGACATAGCGGCACGTGGGGCACTGGAAGGCGGTGATGGGCTCGATGGACTCGCTGGAGGAGCAGCTGGACACCAGAATGCGGTGGGCACAGCTGAAGCAGAGGCTGTGGGCACAGGGCAGCAGGAGGGGGTCCTCGAATAACTCCAGACAGATTGGGCAGGTCAATTCTGACTCCAGTGTTTCCATCTTTAGTGAACACAATCCTGATTCAGCATCAAAAACCAGGGAAGGTGGTCAGGAACCTGCACGGAGGGAGAGCAGAGATGTGAGACGACAGCTGCTCTCCGGTGTTACAGTGAGCTCATGGGCACTCTATTCCCCCTTCCCCAGGACCCTGTGACTCTGATCAGATAACCCTGGACCCCTCCTTCCTGCCCCAACGGGGTTGGGGGAGAGCCAGGGAAGCCCACCCTGTCCAAAGTCTATATTGACCCCTGACATTTCCTGTTCGTCCTCTTGTGCCCCGCTCTCCACATGGACATCACAAAATAAAGAGAGCTGAACCAACATATCTGGGGTAAGATCCTCTTTTGGAAATCTTTGCCATCTTCTGATATTCCTCCCCTTCACAACCTGCTTACCTCTGAGCTAGCCTAGGATATTTTGGGGGCTGTGCAAGGGGGGGGAATGTCACTCCTGGGCTGCTCCTCTCCTCCAGCAGCAGGTGCCTGGGGGGTTGGACACATCAGCCCCATGACACCCTGACATCCTCTGCATTCTGCCAACTCCAGCCCTGCCAGGCCCCTGCCAGCACAGGCCGGAGCTGTCTCACCCCACATGGAGCAGAGCCTGCAGCTGCAGCAGGACAGGAGCCCAATGCAGGGGATGGGAGAGGAGGAGCAGCAGCTCCTCTCACACCTTCCAGCCCAGCCAGGGCAGGACCTGGACTGTAGGGCTGGAGACAAAACTAGGAGAAACCACATGATTTCATGTTTGTGCTGGTATGTGCTGCCAAGAGTGGGGCGTGGCCATGCTGACGTTCCATGCAGAAGGGCTGTTCTGCATGGCACACATAAACCTCTTAACATCCCCTCCAGCAGTTCCAGGCCTGCTTCTGCTGAAGGAGAAAAAGCAAATCAAGTAGTGGAAACTCTGAGCATAGCAGGTTGGGAGCTCTTAACACCCATCCTGCCCCCTGCTTTTCCTGGCCATTGCTTTTTGGAGCAGGATGGGGAGGGCACAGCAGCGAAATTATAGTTGGCAAACTTCCACTACTGGCTGTCCTCTGCTGCACTCCACAACAGCCAGGGATACCTAAATCAACTCCAGCTGGAGGCAAACAAGCTGTATTTTTAGCTCCCTTCCCTTGCGCGAGGCTGGAAAACAGCTCCCAGCAGGCAACTCAACCTGCTGCTCCCAACTCTGGTTTGCAGAGCACCAGGAGCTGCACCCCAAGTGCTACCCAGCCTCTGCCAGCATCCCAGCACGTTCCCAATCAGTCATGTACTGACACGGAGCCAGATGCAGCCTCTCCCTTCTCACCCACCACCCAGTGCACAAGTGGTACCTCCTGCTTTCCTCAGCCACAGCAAGGCAGGCTCCGAGGGATGCCCACTGTGGTGTCCTTCACTGTGGGTGTGAGGAGAGCCCTGCTCAGTCACAGCCACAGGGACCCCTCACCCTGGCACTGCTGCAGGAACTGACCCTGTGGGAAGCAAGGTGGTGCCCAGCCCAGACCTGTTTTCTCCCCTGGAACATTCTCGTGTGGTGTACAGGCTCTGCCTGGGGAGAAGAGGAAAAACCCTTTTCTGTAAGGGTGGGCAGGCCCTGGCACAGGTTGCCCAGAGAAGCTGTGGATCCCTGGATCAAGTGCTGGAGGGCACTTGAAACAACCTGACATAGCAGAAGGTGTCCCTGCCGTGGCAGGGGATTGCAATTGGATGAGCTTTAAGGTCCTTCCAAACCAAACCAGTCTAGGATTCCATGAAAAAGGGCTGTAACCAAAGTGTAGGGGGATGACCCAACAGCAGGAGAGGGTCTGGCTGCTGGAAGCCCCAGGCTGCTGCTGGCACCTGCAAATGGCAAACTACATAGGTGCCACGCTGGGACATGCCCACCCCCGTGCCACGTACACATCAGTTCCAGCACCCCCACCCCAGTGCACCATCTCTTCCCCACTGTCTGAAATAGGATATGCCTGGAGGAAACCCTGAGCTCTGCCCTGCGCCTGCTCAAGGGGCTTATAAAATAAATCCATTGGATATTTTGATACCTTCATGCTGAAGCAGCTCTTGCTGGAGAAATGCAGCCTTGCACACACACACACACAAGCATTTAAAATTATTTTTCTTTTCCCCAAGAAAGACAGGGGAGAAGTTGCTGGATCCAAAGGCAGAGGAGCACGAGGGTTCCCAGCAGCTTCCTCACAGCCCATGGAGGGTCTCTGAAGGCTCGGAGCTGCCGCAGCCATGGGAAAGCAGCGGGGAGGAAGCGCTCCTGGCCCTGTGCCTGCTGGCTCTTCGGGCTGCCCTGCATCCAGTGGGCTCCCCAGGCTGCAGGCCTGGCAGGATGAGGGGTCCCAGCACACCCCAGAGCTCGGGGCACCTCCTGGCACCTGGGCTGGCATGCTGGGAGCGGTCCCTGCTGTGCCAGAGCTGGGCACACAGCGGCTGCCTGGCCCCGAGAGCCCCGGGCTCACTCATGGGCTCTCCCTGGTCAGCAGCCACAAAGACAAAAAGAAGAAAGGACAAGAACAGGATTTGTTTCATAGCCTGAGACTGAGAAAAGAACTTAAGAATCGGGATTGGTGTGAGAGGCTCCCCAACACCTTGCCAGAACCAGCTGTCCCAGGGAGCAGCATCTCACACTCCCACATCCAACTCCAGGCTTCACATGCAGCTCCGTTGCTATCCAAGGGAAAACAATGCAAAAGCTTTAAACAGCCTTCAGTTCTGCTGCTGAGGGACATTTGTACATTAATCTTGTTTTCCTTGCTGGGACAAGAGCTTTCTCCTGTGACATATGCAAGAAGAGCCTCAGGCTGGGACAGGAGCAGGAGCCCTGTCGGAGGTGTGCAGGAGGCCCAGGAGCCTGCTCAAAGGTAGTACAGAACAGGGACAGGAGCCTGCCCGAGCTGCAGGAACCCTGCTGGAGGTGCAGGAGCCCCCTCGAAGAAGGGAGGGGAACCCTGCTCCAAGATGCTACACCTGGCAAAGCAGCCATGCTGCCATCACAGGCTTTCATGCCTCTCTCACTTTGATGTTCTCTTTGATGTCCAGGACTGACACAGCTCAAGGAATAGTTGATTGGATTAAAATCTGCTTTCTTTAGGTCATTAATTCCCTAAATATAAAAGTTATAAAATACTTTTATATTTATAGATGGCCTCGTGTCCCTTGTGCCCAAGAGTCAGTGGCCCTGTCCATGCTGGCCTGTAATGACAGCGTGCAGCAGCAGCAGGTTAACAACACGTGACATCCAACCACACACTGTTTGGTGTTGATCTGAGCTTTGCCCAAAACTGAGGGAAAAGGGGGAGGGGGTGGGAAATCAATGACTAACATAAATATATGACTAATGACAGAAGAGATAGGGAAGGGCAGTAAACCCCAGGGTGGGCAGAGCTGAGGATGATGCAGGGCCAGTGCAGAGCCAGTGCCAGGTCCTCTGGGACACAGTGACTGCTGATTTTACTTCCAGCCCAGATGGTCTCCAAGCTCTCTGTGCCAGCCTGGAGCAGCAGGAGTGTGGTGAGGGTGTACGGGTTACCCTTGGCAAGTTACCCCAAGGGTTCTCGGATACAAAGGTTTCCCCACCTCTTCTCCCAGATTACTATTTTCAAAATATTAAAAGCATTTCATCACTGCCTCAAGCTCATGGGTTTGTCAGGAAAGATGCAGAGGTTTGGCACCAAGGGAAGAAGGAAGAAGAGACGTGGAAGGAGAGATGATGCCCACCATCACCCCATCCATGCCTGGGAGGGGGACATCCTGGTGTACATCACCTGAGGCCACAGGCAGCCAACCCAAAATCCACGTTTTCCCCTCGAGCAGCATCCAGGCCCCATTTTTACCCATGTTTTCCAAGTCCACATAAAATTCCCTCTGGTCTCCCCCAGCACCAACCCTAGGCAGAATTTGGCCAGCCTTCAGAGTCTCACATCAGGATATCCAGATGTGTTCACACGAATGTTAATTCTGAAGGTTGGTATTTTCCACAACAAATATGATTATTTATTTCCCCTTCCCCTTTTTATCCCTCTTTTTTTTGTTTTTTAACTTCCCCTCCCCCTCAAAAAAGCTCCAGCCGAGATTGCTCAGCCCCTTCCAAGAATGAGGCTTTAGAAGAGCTATGCTGCTCCACCCGTGCATTAACGAAAAAAGTAATAAAATATGGCAACCCTTTCCTTAATTGGCACGGTGACAGCAGGATACAAAATCTGGGCAGCAGTTGTCTCCATCCTTTTTATTGTCCTCGGGAAAATGAGTTCAAAGCTGGATCAGTGTTGAGGGGAGGACAGAACAGCCTGTGCAGCAGCCACATCTTGTCTGTCTCACCCCCGAGGAGCCCAGCGCAGCCCCCACGGCAGCAGGGACCCGTTCTGCACCTCCAGGGGGAGAGGTCCCCCCTCCATTTCCCTGGAGGGGAATGACCCTGCACTCCTGCCAGCTCAGCCTAACCAACCAACTTGCCTGAATCTGCCCTTGGGATGGGCCTGTCCAGGAGAAACAGGGTCCTAGGAGGGAACACAGCCCCAGCTGCGTAATCAGCAACAGCTTCTGACCTAAGGAAGGCACTCCGGGGAGAAGGGAGGCCTTCAGGCTCCTCCAGCCAATTCATATCCACTGTTACTTATTTTTTCCGTGCTTTATTTCCATCAGCTGTGCATATTTAACACCAAATTTGAAGCTCAAAGCTGCAGCCAGCACAGAGCATCCCTCAGGCAGGCCAGCACGGAGCACCCCTCGGCCACATCATCGCCTCTGCTCCTCCCTTCTGGAACACCTGAACACATCAAACAGAACTTGGCCTTTCCTCCCACCATTCCCACCGTAATAACGCCACAGATTTGTCTGAGGCTTACTGAAAATCCCAGTGATCCCTCTCCCAGCTGCCCTCCCCAATCACTTTATTGCCATACTAGAAAAAGAACACTGCCTGCTGCAGTTAAACTGGATTCCCCCTATAAAAGCCTCTGTTGCTGTCCCTAATCCATCAAACTGAAACAGCATTTCCATACCAGCTTTAATTATTTTCCCAGCCAATTTGCTTGGTGCTAAAGCAAGGTTGCTCCACGTAATTC